GCTGAGGCAGGAGAATGGCGTAAACCCGGGAGGCGGAGCTTGCAGTGAGCTGAGATCCGGCCACTGCACTCCAGCCCGGGCAACAGAGCGACACTCTGTCTCAAAAAAAAAAACAAACAAACAAACAAAAAAAAAGGGAGCAGTGCTTGGACGGACACGATGGCTCACACCTGTAATCCCAGCACTTTGAAAGGCCGAGGCAGGCAGATCACAAGGTCAGGAGATCAAGACCATCCTGGCCAACATGGTGAAACCCCATTTCTACTAAAAATACAAAAATTAGCTGCATATGGTACACGCCTGTAGTCCCAGCTACTCAGGACGCTGAGGGAGGAGAATTGCTTGAACCCAGGAGGCAGAGGTTGCAGTGAGACAAAATTGCGCCCTGGCACGCCAGCCTGGCAACAGAGAAAGACTATGTCTCCAAAAAAAAAGCAGGGAGCAGTGCCATCAGCTGTGCCTCCTGCTGGACGACTGACACCTGCTGCTGACCACACTGGAGGGAGGCTGGTCTCACTGGCTAGGTACTGGGGCTAGGGGGTGTGCGAGGCTTTAACCAGGACAAATGGCATGTGTGTGAGCCTCCATGCCGTCTTGTTGCATCAGAAGCCGGGGCGGGGCTGGGAGTGCAATCTCACCTGACGGATGTTCTGACCCACGTATTCGATGACCATCTCGTCAGCAGCAATGGGTTCCATGGCAAACAGACCCCACTCGTGGATCCGGCTCCGGCCAAATCGGAGCTTCTTCTTCCGGAACTGGGGGGCAGAAGAGAGACTCAACTGCCAGACGCCTGCCACACCCCAGACCCTCGCTCTTCCCAGACTTCCTGGGCAGAGAGCATTCTGGCCGCTTACCCCCCAACTCCACCTGAGGGAGCCACAGGAGCCTGTTGGGTGGTCTCCTGGCCTCTGCCCCTTCCTGCCCCACTCTACCCCACCCAGGCCCTCCCGCAGCCCGGTCTCACCTTGAGCTGGTTGAGTTTCAGCAGGTCACTGTCCATGATGGCGGAGGTACCGATGGCGCTCAGCAGCCGCCGTTGCTCGGACCGGCGCTCGGATAGCACGCGGTTCGTCCCCTGTGAGATGCAGGGCAGGGAGGAGGTGAGCAGGGCAGAGAGGTGAGTGGTGGGAGGAGCACGCGGCGGCGGGGTCGGGCCCACCTGAGTGTCCACGCCCTCCAGCTGCCGGGCCGAGACTGGGCACACATCCAGGTACTTGTCCTTCTCCTTCTTGCTGATGGGGTAGTAGCCTTCGCTACGGGCCGAGCCTGTCTGGTGCTCCCGGGGCCCATCCTGGGGCCGCCGCTTGCGTTTTGGGGTGGTCAGGTTGGTGAGTGCGGGGTGTTAAGGAAGAGAACGGCTCCTCTCCGGCCACCCGCGTCCCAGCCAAAGGAGAGGGCGGGGCCCACGCCGCTGAACATACTCAGGTGAGGGAGAGGGGAGGAAGCCCCAGCCCCATGGTTCCTGCCAGAAATGCTTTGGAAGGCAGAAGAGGCACCAGGCGGAGAGAAAAAGATGGCTTGGAGCCAGAGGGGAGGCAGAGTCGGGGACAGATGCAGGTGCCAGGAGGGGTCGGAGGAGGACCCAAGCCCACATGTCCCGGGGAAGGCCGCCGGCCCCAGCGCCCACGCTCAGGATATTTGTGTGATGAACCCAGTGGGTGTCGTTGAGCCAGTCGGCCCCGCTCGTCTGCTGCAGCAGCCGCTCATACGTGAGCCGCAAGTAACTCATGTCCTCTGAGTCCAGGCCCGAGTTCCAAATGTCGTACAGGATGGTCATCTGTTCAAACTCACTGCGCGGCTCGTAGGCGCGGGGCGGCCGTGGCGGGGGTGGGGGCGGTGGGCGGCGGCGCCGGGCGTGGGAGCGGAGGCTGCGCCTCCGGAGGGCGCCCTCCCCATCACTGCTGCTGCTGCTGTCAGAGGACTCCTCCTCCTCCTCCTCCCCCTCTTCCTCCTCCTCCTCCTCCTCTTCGCCCTCCTCCCGCTGCTGCTGCAGTTGCTGCGGCTTGGGCTCCTCCGCCTCAGCCACCACCACCTCGGGGGCCTCCAGGACCTCATCCGCTGGGGAACTGAAGAGGGCGGCGGGTGCAGGCACTGGCTCTGGGGGCCGCGGGGCCAGCGTCGGTGCTGTGGGCTTGACGGCCAGGGCGTAGTTGTGCTCCAGGAGGATGTGGCTGAGCAGGGGCCCGGGGCGCTCAGCCTCCTCCGATGTTTCTGTGGCCTCCGAGTCGTCAACAGCAGGCAGGGAAGGCAGCCCCCGCCGGGCAGGGGTCAGGGCCAGGTCAGCCAGGACCGCCAGGTCTACCTCTGTCCCTGGCTCAGCCTCCTCTTCCTCTGTGGCGCGGCCTCGGCCTCCAGCCCGGCTCCGGCTTCCTCGGGACACCTCCTCCGGCCAACTCTTGACCAAAGATGCATGGTCCAGAGGCAGGTTGCGGATGGTCCGCTCCACGCCCCGGGGGGCCTTGCGGGAGGTTGGTCCGGGAGACTTGGCCTGCGGCGGTGTGGCTGTAGGGGGCTCTGGGGCTGGCACCACCTCAATGGCAGAGAAGGAGACAGTTTTCCGGCGTTTCTTGGGTGGGGGCAGGAGGGGGATGGGAGAAGAGGGACGCTCATCGGGGCATGGGGTGGGGGCCGGGGGCCCAGCAGGTGGTTCTGGGGGAGGGGGGGGCACACTGGGGGGCAGCTCCTCCGTGGGGCCTGGGAAGGAAGCACAGAGGAAGGAAAGGAGGTCAGGGCGACCCAGGCTCAGCCGCCCTGGCCGCCCATGACCACAGGCCGTGTGCTCTCCCCCGCTTCCACCCAGGAACCTCGGCGGGACACAGACGCTCTGGCCTCAGCCCCACATCCCAACAAGATGAACTCCCTTGATGAGAGGAGGTTTCCCACCTGTTCGTTCCCACTGTGACACGTGTGGGTACACACACACCTTCCATGTCCTCCCGGAGCCACAGTCCAACGGGGGACACCACCAAAACATAAGCTGTAGCCACGCTGAGAAAGGCGGCACCACTTGCCCTGGACTCTGCTTTCCTACCCAGACTGGCAGGACAGCCCTGTGCCCAGGCCCCAGCCATGTCCCATGCCAAGGACCCAGTCAGCCACATTTCAGCTAAAACATCCATTACCTCCACCATAAACAATATTCTCAGTTTAGCGAGGTGAACATGATACAACCTAAAAAGCACCATCTGTATTAAAATATTTTATGAAACTTGCCTTCCTCCCCATCCCCTACAGAACTGGAACATGCCCCGGGGCGGGGGCAGGAGACAGCCCTGCCAGAGAAGTGGGGCTGGAGCGGAGATCCCAGGATGCGGGTGGCTGGGGAGGGAACACATTGGCTCCAAGCTGGGGGTGCTGCCTCCCCAAAGCACCCCCAGGACAGGGAGTGCATCCTCCCTTGGCCACCATCCCTGGGAAAGCCTTCATGAGGCTCTCAGAGCCAGCCCGATGGATTTTGTGCCTAACACCAATCACACCTCTTACGTAGAGTAATTCATGTAATCCTCACAACAGCTTAAAGAGGTTCCTATCTTTTTCTCTTTTCCCGAGATGAAGTCTCGCCCTGTTGCCAGGTGGGAGTGCAGTGGCGTGATCTCGGCTCTCTGCAACCTCCGCCTCCCAGGTTCAAGCGATCCTCCCGCCTCAGCCTCCCGAGTAGCTGGACTACAGGCATGTGCCACCACACCCAGCTAATTTTCGTATTTTTAGTAGAGTTTTATCATGTTGGCCAGGATGGTCTCGATCTCTTGACCTCCTGCTCCGCCCGCCTTGGCCTCCCAAAGTGCTGGGATTACAGGCGTGAGCCACCGCGCCCAGCAGAGGGTCCTATCTTACAGACAGGGAAACTGAGGCACAGAGATGCGGTCACAGTTACCAGATGACAGAACAAGCTCTGTTCCCAGGCCATGTGGGTTGAGCTCATACTCTGAACTGCAGCCCAGGGACTCACTGGCTTCACAACTGGCTTCCCCACTCAGCGCCAACAGGGCCCAGCACCAGGCCCAGCCCTAGAAGGCAGCGATTCACCTGAGTCCACCGCACTCCCAACCCTGGCGCCCTGAGCCAGGCCCTAGGCTGTACCTTAGGCTCTGGACACCCGCTGGGGTCTCAGCCTGTGGCAGCAACCCACTCCAGGAAGCTAGCAAGGACCCAGATTCGCCCAGGTCTCCTCTCACCTTCCTCCCCACCACGCTGGGGCAGCGCCCCCAGCGGACCACCTGCATGTCCTCGGGAAGCCTTGCTTGAAGGAGAACACACTCCTCCACCAGCACAGCTGCTGCACACACACTTCCCTCTGCGACTGTCCCGAAGGAAACCTGCCCATCCCTTTCATTTAGGAGACAACTTTTGGGGGCACCTGCCTAGTCAATACGACTCCCACCACCTTCCTCTGAGAACTGCTCTACTGCCACGCTCAGGTCCATGGGGCGAGTCCCCAGAAGCCAGTTGCTACTGCATAACCTGCCCCTACCCAGGGCCATCACTAAGACGGTGGTGACTGAAACTGGTTCCGGTTATTAGAAACTCAGTGAACTGGCTGGGTGAGGGGGCTCACGTCTGTAATCCCAGCACTTTGGAAGGCCAAGGTGGGTGGATCACGAGGTCAAGAGATCGAGACCATCCTGACCAACATGGTGAAATCCTGTCTCCACTAAAAATACAAAAATTAGCTGGGCGTGGTGGCGTGTGCCTTAGTCCCAGCTACTCAGGAGGCTGAGGCAGGAGAATCACTTGAACCTGGGAGGCTGAGAATTCAGTGAGTCGAGATGGCGCCACTGCACTCCAGCCTGGCGACAGAGCAAGACTCTGTCTCCAAAAAAAAAAAGAAATTCAGTGAGTCTTCACTAAGGACCCCTCGCTTGGAGCCATGGCTCCTCTGTCCTTGGTAACACAGGTGCTCTCTCATTATCCAGACACCAAGGGGCTGCCTGCATCTTCCTCTCTTCTCCCACCTCTGCCACCTCCCCAGGGGACTTCACGATCACGCCTGTTTACCTGGATTCTCGCATCTCCAGTGATCCCCTTCAATCACCCTCAGCTCCCCTCAAGCAGCCACACATCTGGCCTTGTCAACCCCCAGAATGGCTCCCCCTTGAAGATTCCCCATCCTCTCCAACATTCCCCACTGTCCATTCAGTCTGCCCCACTGCACCTTCAACTTCCCATCCCTCAGTTTCCCTCTAGCACATCACCCTCTTCTTAACTTCCTCCTCCACCCTGCCCAGACCGCAGGGCCGGTACTTTGCCCTCTCCTGTCCCGGCACCTTCCACAGCCCCAGGTCCTCATCCTTCCACTACCTCTACCCTGTGGAGCCAGCCAGCAGCCTCCTCTCCCCTCATCCCTAGGCCCCAGCTCTGGCAGGGCCTTCCAGCATGGGGAGGCCCAGGCAAGAGGCTCGCTCTGTCTCCAGGCTACAGTGCCGCGGCACAATCACTGTTTACTGCAGCCTCCTCAACCTCCTAGGCTCAAGCAATCCTCCTGACTCAGCCTTCCCAGGAGCTGGGACCACAGGCTCATGCCACTAGGCCCAGCTTCTTTTTTGTTGCTGTTGTTAGCCAGACTGGTCTCGAACTTCTGGGCTCAAGAGATTCTCCTGCCTCGGTCTCCCAAAGTGCTGGGATTACACGTGTGAGCCACCACGTCCGGACTGGAGCAACTTTCATCCTCATTTCTCCACTTTCCAAGGTTCTTACTCCACCCTTCCGCTCACACTCCTACAGTACAGGGTTAAAAGAGGCCTCAGGCACAACACCCCCATCTTCCTGCCTCCCCACTGAAGGGTATACCTGCATCAGATCTGGAGGCTACTCCTCCGCCTCCCCAAGAAGGCCATGCCAGCAAGCATTCCTCTCTCCCGGCGCATCTACCTGGCCCTGCTTCCCTTCAGTGGAACACGCCCAAGCCTCACCTACTTGGAAAAGCTAACCCCTCCCTCAACCCTGCCCTCTCTTCTTGCTCTCTCTCCAACTCTGGCTGGGTAACGTTGAGCTTATTCCTGCACCTCACTAAGCCTTGAAGCCCTCATCTATAAAATGGGAATCATAGGGAGGTTGTGGGGCAAGCGCAGTGGCTCACACCTGTAATCCCAGTACTTTGGGAGGCCAAGGTGGGCTGGTAACTTGAGGTCAGGAGTTCGAGACCAGCCTGGGCAACATGGTGAGACCTGTCTCAACTAAAAATACAAAAATTAGCCAGATGTGGCAGCGTGCACCTGCAATCCCGCTGCTTGGGAAGCTGAGGCAGGAGAATTGCATGAAACCGGGAAGCAGAAGTTGCAGTGAGCCGAGGTTGCACCACTGCACTCCTGCCTGGGTAACACAATGAGGCGCCGTCTCAGAAAAAAAAAAAAAGGGGAGGTTGTGGGGATTCAATGAATTGTCAACATGCTATGCCCAGAGCCTGGCACACATGGGTACTTGACACATGGGAGATGATGTCACAACCCCCAACTCTTTTTTTTTTTTTTTTTTTTAGACAAAGTCTTGCTGTCGCCCAGGCTGGAGTGCAGAGGTACAATCTCAGCTCACTGCAGCCTCCACCTCCCAGGTTCAGGTGATTCTCCTGCCTCAGGCTCCTGAGCAGCTGGGATTACAGGGCCTGCCAACCACGCATGGCTAATTTTTTTTTTTGTTTTTGGAGACAGTCTCACTCTGTCACCAGGCTGGAGTACAGTGGCACGATTGCGGCTCACTGCAACCTCCGCTTCCCAGGTTCAAGCGATCTCCTGCCTCAGTCTCCCGAGTAGCTGGGATTACAGGTGTGCGCCACTACGCCCAGCTAGTTTTTGTATTTTTAGTAGAGATGGGGTTTCACCATGTTGGTGTTGGCCAGAACGGTCTTGATCTCTTGACCTCGTGATCAGCCTGCCTCAGCCTCCCAAAGTGCTGGGATTATAGGCATGAGCCATTGCACCCAGCCCAATTTTTGTATTTTTAGTTGTGACGAGGTTTCACCATGTTGGCTAGACTAGTCTCGAACTCCTGACCTAAAGTGATCTGCCCACCTCAGCCTCCCAAAGTGCTAGGATTACAGGTGTGAGCCACTGCCCCCGGCCCCAACTCTCCTTTTTATCTCAGCAAGAGTGGTCCACCCTTCCAGAAAACTCCCCTCCCCTCATTCCTTAACACCCTATACCTTGGCTTCAGTCTGAACCACTCAAATGAAACTGATAAGGTCACCAATGACCTCGTAACTGTCAAATCCAACAGATACTGCCTATCTCAGCCTTGCTGGTGGTCTGGTGATACAAGGCCACTCCCTCCTTCGCAGAACCTCTCCACTACCTGCTTCCCTTCTCGCCTCTGGTCACCCCTCTCAGCCTCCTCGGGCCCTGCTTGCCTACTGCTCTCACAGGATGGGAAGGCTCTGCCTTTTATCTCCCTCCACTCGCCTACCTGGGTCTACAAGTGAATTCACTGCTGTACTTCCAAGACCTAAGCACCGATCTCATATCCGGCCTACCATTCTTTCCAGACCCCAGAACCATGGATCCAACGGCCACTGTTTCTACCGGGAAGCCCCCAGGGGCATCTCAAACGCTACCCCAACTACACTCATCAGTTTTCTTCCTAATCCTGATTTTCTTCCCGAGTTTCTTTTCTGGGGGAAGTTTAACCAAGTCATCCTACCTCCTAAATTTCCCTCCAATCCTCACCCCCATTTCTACTCCACTCTTCTGCCACATTAGAACCCCTCGGCTTTGGTTCATGCCATTAAAGCTCACCAGAATCCTTTCAAACCTCCTCACGTCACCCACCTCCTTCCTCCCCTCTTCTAAATCTCTCCTCCTCCTGCTAGAACGGGCTTTCTGAAATGCAGATATGGTGAGCCCCTCTCCTTCCTGCTCTGATGAGAATGGAAGAGGATTAAGAGCCATGCCTTCTGACCTGCCGGTGACCCCACAGGCCCTTCTGCTACCCGGTGGGCCCAGGAGAGGTTGGAGAGTCATCTGAGGTGTAATGAGAGCCTCAACTCCCCTCTCACGGAGTCTGGAGCTTAGTAGAGTGCATCAGTGTGAGGAGGTCTTCCTGTGGGCACTGCCTATCTCAGACCATGGATTCTCAACAATGTGCAACTGGGAGCCCCGGGGAGGCCACATACATCTTCACAGCACATCTTGTTTTTGAGATGGGAGTCTCACTCTGTCACTCAGGCTGGAATGCAGTGGCATGATCTCCGTTCACTGCAACCTCCACCTCCCGGGTTCAAGCAATTCTCGTGCCTCCACCTCCCGAGTAGCTGGGACTACAGGCACACACCACCAAACCTGGCTAATTTTTGTATTTTTTGGTAGAGACGTGGTTTCACCATGCTGACCAGGCTGGTCTCGAACTCCTGACCTCAAGTGATGTGCCCGCCTCGGCCTCCTAAAGTTCATAGCACATCTTTTTTTTTTTTTGAGACGGAGTCTCGCTCTGTCCCCCAGGCTGGAGTGCAGTGGCCAGATCTC